ATCTGTCTGAGCCTCTGTCTCCATGTCAAGAAGTAGGAAGAAGAAATAGATCAGCCACCTAGAGAAGAGGATGAGTACAAAAGGACTTCATGTATTGCTTCTTCGTGAAGAAGAAACGTGCTTTCTATGTCCATGCAAATGTCAGCATTACTGGAATTTTTTTCATGGGGCGGTAGACTTTGAAAATCTTCCAGGATGAAGTCACCTCCACCCTCTCTGTAAAATAAAGCTGTGACTTGCTTGTGGCTAGGGCGGAACCAAATGATTTCCTGAAAAAGAATTCCTGGCTTTGCTGGTTGGTCCTTCACCTTCCAGTCTAATATTTCTAAAGTCTATGGATTTGTCCCTTGATTAATGACACCAAATATGCTCTCAGCTCTGAACTGATACCTTCTAGCTCTTAGCCAAAGGTGCATGAGAAGCAGTTTCCTGTGAAGGGCAATTTCAGAATTATTCTGTTCATCCTTTTTATACTCTATGTTCTTTCTTTGGATACAGACATCAGAAAAGTAAATCTCTAGGCAGTTAATATTTAGGCTCCAAAGAAAATAGAGCTTCATTTTCATCAGGGAAGCTGCAAGAGCCAGGGTTGAAAGCAGTTAAGCATTTAGTTGGGATCTGCTGAAGTGGTGGAGCTGGGGGCCCCTCAGCCTCCTGGGGCAATGCCAAGAAACCTGGCATCAGAAAAGGCTTTCACACCTCAGACTGCAGAAAATCTTACTCAGATCTGACTTTCTAACCACCCCACTTTTATGAGATGGGAATCTCCGAATTTAAACTCACTCTAACAATTCTGTGGTCCCTGTGACCCATCTGCTGGAATTGCATTACTGCTAAGAAACACCCCCTGCCACACTATTCTCCCTGCTTCTGATTTTAGCATGTGCTTTGTGAGATGTTTCAAACCCTTCCTGGAAATTAGAAAGTCATAACAAGCAATCAAATTGCTTCACCAGTTTTCAGAGACTGATGGTCCAATTTATAAAGTGACCAGGTCTTTTGTTTCAAGTCTTTTTTCAGCCTCCTTTTGTGACTTCTGTTCTCAATGCACTGACCAAGTAAGAAGATGTTACTAATTAAACTAGTAACTCTGAATGACTCAAAATACTCACAACGGGTCCATGCAAATTAGAAAGTGCTGGATAAATGTTGAATGAAAAATAGACACTCTATGAAAGGAAAAAATTAAAATTTACTACATGGTTTGAAATTTTTTTTCTGCATTCAATTAAGTGAAATCTACTTTCCTGACTTTGAAACTGGCTTAGTTTTGCTCTGAATGAGCGTTAATTTAGAGAGATTCACTGTTAGGGAGGAGTCAGTCTCTGTGTCTGTTTGACTCTCCTTGCAGGAGGCCAAGGGCAGCAGGACTGGAAACCTTTTTGTAAAGAGCCACACAGTAAATATTTTAGACTTTGCAGTCCATGTGGTTTCTGCTGCAAGTACAGTTCATCTCCATTATTCTTGGGTTCCATATCTGTGAATTCAACTAGCCACTAAAATTTATTTGTAACCCCCAAATCAATATTGGTGGTGCCTTTGCAGTCATTTGTGGACATGGGCAGAGCAGCCAAAAATGTGATCACCCATATCCCCCACTGGGCTGTTGAATAAGGAAAACTTTCTGCCCTCTTATTTCAGCTCTAATACTGTCTACAAGTGTCCTTTTCATGATCTATTTGATGTCATGTTTTGGGTTGGTTTTTTGGTTTTTTTTTTTTACCACTTTAAATGGCACCGAAATATAATGTGAAGTGTTCTTTGGTGTCCCTATGCACAAGAAGCATGTGATGTGCCTTAAAAGCGGTAATTTCATCTGTTAGGTAAGTTTCATCCAAACATGAATTATAGTGCAGTTGGTCAAGAGTTCAGTGTTAATGAATAAAGAATATATATTAAGATGAAATTTCTTTAAACAAAGACAAGATTATATATTGATCTGTTGACAAAAATATTGAGACCAGAGGCTTATAGGAACCTAATCCTGCATTTCTCTTAGGCACCACTATTTAGTATTGGCTGATTTAATATTCCAAGTGACTTTATAGAACCTAATTACCTCAGACAACAAAAAGCAATTGAATTCAACTCTGAAGTTATAATGTGGAAGCAGCCATAGACAATTTATAAACAAAGGACATGGCTGTGTTCTATAAAATTTATGGACATGGAAACAAATTTCATATAATTTTTATATATCACAAAGTATTCTTTTTTTTTTAATTTTCCTCCTAAAGCCATTTAAAAAAAAATAAAAAGCAGTCAACTTGCTAGCTATACAAAATCTGGTGATGGGCTGGATCTGGCCCATGGTGATAATTCGCCAAATCCTGCTGTATCACCAATGGATCCACTGCTTTGTTGCCAGATCACAGCAAACATCCTGTTCCCCCAAAAGCCCTTGCTATCCCAAGGCCATCACTTTGGTGGGCTCTGAGAACTTGTGTGAGGTCTAAATCTGTGGAAAGGAGAGAGTACTGATGTTGGAGTTCAGCCAGCCATGTTTGAAAGCCAGGGTATCACTTCCTAGCTGTTTGACTTGAAGCAACTTTTCTGAGCCTCTTCTAGAAGACAGAGAGAATCATATCGGTGTCGTCTTGCGCTTATACAGTTTAAACAGCATAGCAAGGGGCACTGCAGATGGGATTCCTATACTGCAACAGGGTGGTCCCCAGGAACCATTTTAAGATTTTTTTTTTCCTGTGATTTTTACATATTTGCTGTCTTGTTTTAGCTAACGTTCCAATTTTTTTTCTTTTGGCTTGGATAATGGACTATTTTCAAGTAATGAAAAACTGTCATACTGGACATTCATGGACAATGCTGCTGACTAATTGTTGCTTCTCTTACACACATTGTAACCCTGAAAAAAAGACTGTCTCCTAAGATTACACCATGACATCTGTGCCACCATAGACATGGTGGAATAAAAATTAAAAGGGGGGATTGCAACAGGGTGGTCCCCAGGAAAGGGGGAGGTTCCCTGCCCCACCCAAGGGAGGGTGAAGCTGAGCAGGAAGAGGAGAAGCTGCAGAAGAGACTGAGGAAGAAAGGAGGATGGAGCCAGAAGGAGACCTGGAGGAGGTGCATGGAGCCTAGAGACACGTGAAGAAACTGCGCTTGTCTTTTGGTCGTGGACTAGGTGACACAGATGTCGGTGAGACCCGTGGGGAGGTGACAATGGCAGCTTTTATCTTGATGTTGATTTTGCTCTTTTCCTTCCGGGCTTGTCCGGTTGTTTGTGACCCTTTTCTGTGGGTCCCCACTGGAAGATGCTTTAGACTTGTGGCAGGCTTTGGGGCCTTGTTCTGGGCCAATCCCATTTGGATGGACTTTTACCCACGAGGGGATGGGTAACTCTGGATGCTTCATTTAGAAACTAGACTCTTTGCCTTACCTGTATTGTTTCCTAGTTTTATTAAAGTTCCTTCCCATTAAAGTCTCCTATGTTTTGTGTTGATGCGGCAGATGGCAGAACCCATGTAGAATAGGCAGGTTTGTGGGGTTTGGGCTGCCCCTTTCCCTGTCCTATAACAATACCACCCTCAACACTCCCACCCCCACCTGTTCAGTAATTTGACTTCTAACCTTGGGGTTCCTTTGACATCATCAAAACTCCACAGTGAGCAAGTACAGTTGTCCCAAGTCTTAGCCATGGTAAGACACATTCCAAGTACCCTAGTGAGTGCCTAACTGGAGAGGCTGAACTTTATAGCTACTATATGTGTTCCTATGCATACATCCCTGTGACAAAGTTTAATTTGCAAATCAGGCAAGTAAGAAATTAACAAAAACTAATAATAAAATAGAACAGTTTTAACAATAGGCTGTAATAAAAATTTTGTCAATGTATCAAAGTATCATATTGTACATAATATTTCCAGACAGTGGTAGACCTTGGGTAACTGAAATCCAGGAAGGGTAACCTCAGATGGAGGGTTTGTGGGTTGGTGGGGGCGGGGGGAGTTACAAAAGATGTGACTAATCTTATTCCTTCTATCTCATCACCACTTTCAGGGGTCAGTGAGACCATGCAACATAACCAGCAGATGAGCAGGATGTTTCCCTAGGAACTGTAGCCCCATAATAAACTGTTTAGAGTGCAAAGGCGGTGCCCCCAGATTGTCCCCACCCTTGTTTAGGCTCATGTCAGTCAGATAATTTTCAGGCATCGACAGAAACCTGCTGGTGAGAAACCTCTTGAATGTCACTGCTTGCAAGAGAGGAAAGAAAATAGAAAACGCTGTTTATTTTCCTGACGGAAAAGATAACATCACTTCGACCTTTCCTTTTGTGTAAGGTCAGATGAGAAGCATTCCTTGAAAGTGGCTCTAGAAGAAAGCTTTTCTCGGATTTTTTTCTTAGCATTTGTGGTTTTCATTCGAAATGGATTACTCTCCGTGATCATGATTAATAAATGAGACAATGCGAATGCCCTCATCTGTAAAACAGAAGTGATGATTCGGATCCCTGCCTGGATTAAAGCGATTAATAAACTCTAAGCGAACGTTACTATTATTACATCTAAGTAAGCACTGATTTTAAAATGCCTTTTAGTGGCATTCATAAGCAGCGGGTGACAAAATCGTCCGCACTTTTTGGAAGTGAATTCTTGGCCTTTTACTGACGCGGCCCGGCTCATTTTGGTGGCCTAGAAAAGCAACGTTCACGAAACTACGGCCTCAGACGCGAGCGCCGGAAGATTCCTCTGAGAGCCTCTCCCGGGCCCTTAGCGTCAGGACCGCGCGGCGACCCGGGGTCCGAGGCGCGGCGAGCAGGAGCCCCGGGGTGGGCGCGGGCGCGCGCCGGCCTTTCCCTGCGCGGGCGAGCGGAGGGCGGGGGCGCCGGGGGCCCCGGGGGCACGCGGGGGGAAGGGGAGCGGGGGGAGGGGCGGGGGGGTTGGTCGGGGAAGCCGGGGGCGGGCCCCGGGCGGTGGAGCCGGCGGAGCTGGGGCGTCTGGGGCAGCGCGGGGCGCGGCGCGCGCTCAGTCACGTAGCCGGGGCCGGCGGCTCGCTGGCTCCACGCGCCACCTACGGACCGTGCCGACTCCTGAAGGTCAGCGCTTTGCCCTAGGTAGGACACACAATTGGAGCTTCTTCCCCTTTTAAAATTCTAGTCGCGTCTCCCTGGAAGCTGGCGGGACATGGAAATTGAGGACATGTGTGCGTGTCAGACTTTCTGAAAACAAAGCGGCACAGATGGAGCCGTCGCAGCGGAGTCAGAGGACACGCGTTTCTCTTGGTTTGCAGATAAGGAAACAGATTTGGCCCAAATCAAAGGGACTGTGATGCCTCGTTGCCCCGACCCCCCTCATTTCCCTTACTGCTTCACTTGGTTCTGTACTCGCCTCAGAACACGGAGAGGTGACCCCACGTCTGCCACGCCCGAACTGGGGGTGCGTCTGGCTAGTTGCGCTCTCTCGGGACGTGGGGACTCCTCAGGCGCTAACCCCACGAGAGCCCCCCGGAGGCGCGGGGGGAGCCTGCTCCGCTGCTGCCTCTCAAAAGCCCTGTGTTGGTTTCTAACCTCCCCTCACCCCTTCTCTTGCAAGTGAAGGGGCTTTAGAAAACCAGGACATCATCTCGCAGGGCGCCCCCAGGGGCTTGCCTGTGCTCCTGTGGGGTGAAAGGAAATGATTGATTCTACTTAGACTGGTTGATTCTTTAAGGCCACAGCTTCCATTGCCAAGAGCGATGGTTTTCAAAATTCCAAACATGAATAAATAGTCTTCAAAAGAACGGGTCAGATGTACATATGAAACAGTCTTTGCACTCTCTCCTGTCCACCAGCAGATGGTGAGGCGGAGGGGAAGCCACTAGGGTTTTCAGGGGACAGTTTGGGAAAAAAAAAGAGCCTGTTACAGTCTAAAGTTAAGGCTCTTGGCTCTCATAAACCTTTTATAACCTAGCCACAGCTTTCTCATCTCCACCCCTACCCGTGTCCAGATGGAAGGATAGATATGGTGTCTCTTTGGTTTGGCTTTATTCCCTCTACCTGCAGTCTCGCCTCAGATGTCTCAACCGCTGTCATTCCTGCCTGGATATTCTCTGGTACTGTGCACCCATCACATGCAGCACCTATCATATCCTTGCTGGAGGTCTGTTTCCCCCACTGCGTCACCAATCCCTTGAAAACAAAAATGGTATCTCGTGGTTGCAACGTTTAACTGATAATTAAAAACACTTGAGCACTAGGTTCAGGGGCAAGAGAGGAGAGACCCAGCACTACCCTCTCTGCTGGTTCTCAGCCCCTGGAGTTTCTGGGTATAATCCGGACCAGCCTCAGTACACACAGGGCGGGGAGAGGCAAAGCAGCAGGTCACTCTGGCTTGGTGGGTGGCAACTTTAATGAGCAGAGGAACTTGTTTACAAGATTATGTCTTGGGTGGCTGCAAGATAAGTACTTTTCTGCAGCCCCCCTCCCTCTGCCAAATCATAAAAGTTTATGTAGAAACTTTAACTGCGTTCAGTCGCTTATGCAGTTCAGATAGTCTCAGTGACACATTACACATTACAACACATTGTCAAGGCTGTAGCCTTGGAGCAACTTCTGGGAACGTCCTTTCCAAGGGGCATGCCTATGAGGCATGTTCCAAAGTGGTGTGTGGGGGGTGTGAGGAGACTGCAGTTGCTGGGTCCAGCACAGTGGTCCACAGGTGGTCACGGTCTCTTGATTATCTTCCCCAACACCTCTCAGGAGCTGACAACCTCAAAGAGGGGAGTCCGGACTGACAGTAAACAAGACAAACAAGTTGTGGTCCAGACAGTGGTCAGGCCTAGGGAGACAAAAAACCAGAGAAGGAGCTGGGTGGGGATAGGCACAACCCCAGCTTTGCAGGGAAGGTCACACACGGAAGGTGAATTGGGCATGAGCCTGAAGTGGCAAAGAAGGGGACAGTGTGGGACTTTGTGGGGCAGATGTTCCAAGCACAGAGAAACCAAAAGGGTGAAAATAGGTGACATGGAAACAGAGATGTGTCCACAGTGACCAAAAGGAAAAGAAAAGAAAGTAGGAGGTGGGAAGGAGATATTAGAGCAGGAAGGTAGAGCTTAGAAGCCTGGGGCCTCTTGGACCATGATGAGTACTTTGCATGTAACCTAAGTGAGTCAGTTATGATGTTTTGAAACTGCTTCCACAGAGTGGAAGTGACCCCACATGGACAGTTCTAGTGCCCGTTTTTCAGGCCTTCCTTGATTTCTTTGACACTACTGGCTAATTCTTTTCAGAAAAGCTTCCTTTATCTTCCAGAATTCCACTTTCTCCTTTTCTTTCTACATCAGTGGCCCCTCGTCTTGGGTTTCCGTAGTTTTTTTTTTTTTCCCCTCTGCTCACTCTGTGAGGGGTTTCTGCCAGCTCTTTATATCAAGCCTTTCCCTCAGCCAGCTGTTCTCCTAACACTTATTCTCTGTGCAAACCTGTTCAAATGCTCACCTGGTACAGTCATGTGTCACTGAGAAATATATTGTTAGGCCAGTTTGTCATTGTGCAAATGTCATAGACTATAACCACACAAAGATGGGTGGCACAGCCTAGCCCACAGTGGGCGTAGCCTGTTGGGACCACTATTGTATGTGTGTTTTGTGTTGACTGAACTGTTGAGTGATATGTGACTGTACGTGTAGGAGGCTGGCTGAGTTGGCATGGAAGAAGGTGAGGAGGGCAGTGTGTGCCTTGGTGCCCACCTTTCCTCTCAGTCTCCAACTCCTGCTATTCCCCCCACATTTAACCTTCTCTGGGCTTGCTCCAAATAGCTCCTATTTTCAGAAATTTTCAGTTATACATTCACACATGCTTAAGATATAATGTATTAAATTAACTATCACTGAGAAACAAATCACCCCACCACTTTTTTAGTGGCTTACCAAAATGGTAATGACAGCTCTCTTGATGCTGGCTTGGGTTTCCTCGTGAAACCACAGTTCAGTTGTTGCAGACATCCACAGAGCTGGCAAGATCGCTTCTAAGGTGGCTTATTCACACAACTGGTAAGTTAGGACAGGCTTGTGGCAGGAGGCCTCAGCACCTCTTCACATGCACGTCTCCAGAAAGCTATTTGTGAATATCCTCTTGGTGGGCAACTGGCTTCCTCCAGAACAAACAATCTACCAGGGCAAGAAGGAAGCTGCAGTGCTTTTTGTGATCGAGCTTTAGTGTTCACATACCATTATTTCCATCATGCTCTAGTGGCCACTCAGAGCAGCTCTGATCCAATGTGGGAGGAGGCGATGCAGGGACTTGCATACCAGGAGGCAAGGACCATGGGCAAACCCTCTAAGCAGTGAGCTACCCCACAACCGGGCCTTCCCTAGTTAGTGGACTCCTTCTTCTGCTCCCATTGAACCTTGGGCAGATCTCCATTCCCTCATGTAATAACTGCATTGAATTTGTTGATTTACTTTTTTCTTTCTTCCCTAGTCTTTAAGGTTGTGAGGATAACAATGTCTGCTTTGATGATTTGAAATTACTATTTCAAGAACAATGGTGCAGAGTCTTAGTACAATTTAATAAGGAGTAAAGGAATGGATAAATAACTTGTTCTTTCCCCAACCAGAAATATTTTGTATAGCACTGAATTTATATCAAGCCTACTTTGGTTCTCTGCTTATCTGTTTTCACATTTCATCTTTCAAATGATGATTCCCACCCCATCTCCTGCCTGACCCAACAATTCCATTCCTTGGTTGGTTTTATTCTTAGGAAACTATTGCATGTTTGGCAAAGACATGGCTAACATGATGTTCGTGATGTTCATTACAGCTTGTGATGTTTAATTTTGTAGAAAATCCACATTTTGAAAACTAGTGACTTCATTAAACAGCTAATACAATGAAACCATAGACTATCATGTAGTCACTAAAATAGTAATTCAGAACAATGTTCATTGACATAGAAAGGTATTCACTTGATATTATGAAATGAAGACAAAAGGTTATAAAATTTAATTTTTTTATTTCTAATTTTGGTAAAATATATATAACATAGTTTATCATCCCTTTTTTAAAGGTTTATTTATACATACAAGAACTGGGTTACAGGCCAGAGGTGCAGGGGGTGAGAGGATTCACCAGAGACAGTGGGGAACAGAACAGGCAGATTGACTGAAATACACTGCCGAGGGGAGCAGTGGGCGAGACAGGAGAGGTCTGCTGCGCCATGTGGGTTGCTCCCTGGCTGGCTGGGGATTGAACTAGTGCTATAGAAGCTATGGATAGCTTCACAGTGCTGTGCTTAACACCTTTGTCACCAGAGAGGCCCTATCATCTCCCTTAAGTGTAAGTTCACTAGTGTTAAGGTCATTCACATGGTTGTGCAGCCAATCTCCAGAACTCTTCATTTTGTAAAACAAACTGTATACCATTAACCATTCCTCCCTCCCTCAAGCTCCTGGTAACAATTTTCTGTTTCTACTAATTAGCCTACTCTAGTTCCATCATGTAAGTAGAATCATACAGTATTAACTGTTTTGTGATTGGTTTATTTTACTTAGCATAAACTGTTGTCAAGGTTCACACATGTTGTAGCATGTGTCAAAATGTCCTTCCTTTTTAAGAGTAAATAATATTCCATTGCATAGATATATCACATTTTGTTCATTCATTCATCAATGGGCACTTGGGCTACCTGCACATTATGGCTACTGTGAATAATGTCATTATGAACATGGATATACCAATAGCTCTTTAAGAACCTGCTTTCAATTCTTTTGGACATATAACCACTTGTAGATTTGCTGGATCATATGGTAATTATGTTTTTATTTTTTGAGGAATCATCATAATATTTTCTACAGGGCCTTAATATTTGTCATAATATTATATACATTAATATAATTCATGATTATAATAATTATCATAATATTTTCTACTTTTTACCTTCCCAGCCACATGAATTGTTGGGTCAGTTATGATATTGGGCGGGAATTGCAGTTTGAATTCCAATTTCTCTACATTCTCAACACTTATTTTCTGCTTTATTTTTGTAGTCGTTGTTAGTACTAGCTATCCTAATGGGTATGAAGTTGAATACCACTGGTTTTGATTTGTATTTCCCAGCTGACAAGTGATGTTGAGTAA